AAGTAGTAGCTTACCCCGTCACACAGCCAGAGCTCAGGCACATAGCTAACTGAGCCGGTAAATGTTCTAGAACTTTCCGAACACTTTACTTTCTTATCACAAACTTCCGCCTCGTCTATTCCACCTGACAGGATGAGGTTCGTATGTCTTAGTAAACTCGTTATCTTTGACAATATAGAGTGTAAAACACCGGGAAATGAATTCATCACAATATTCGACATATGTTCGGGAGCGAAATACTAAATGTATAAAATATACAAGTTTTTACAGGGATATTACGAGTTGTCGTATACTCGTAATTTTATAAAATATTTAGCCTACTTTATTGACTGCTAATATGTAGTCCACTGTCGTTATATCGAGTTACTCAGCCGATATAACATTTGAATATTAGATTCTAACATTTATTATACGCTTCGAGATTAAAAGTATACCCAAAGAAGATGTACATTTAAGTAATTTAAGCGAAATATTAATAATATTTTATATTACTGCACTATAAATCGAGCATGTAAATTGTAAAGCGCCTGTCTTCAATTCTTAAGAGTGAAAGTGAAAATGAGGCTTTACCTAGACAATCAGAAATTCCATCGCAAATCTGATGTTTGTGGATGTGTCGAAAGTGGGGGTGATCAGTTGATGTCTTGTTTCTCCGCAAGCATTCCTGAGAAAGGTCCTCACAGAGAGCTGAGTCCAAGTTGTCAACACATCGACCATCAGCTTCTCCCTGACACACCTTATCTCGGGCTAGTGAAATAAGTAGCCCTGAAAGTGAAAGTGAAAGTGAAAGTGTATTGGTTAGCTCGTGCATTATCATACTGGGCAGGATCAATAATCTGTTTATTTAGACACATGATTTCCTTATTGGCCTTTTAATTTCAACTAATGTCACTATGTCATGAAACATTAACCCACGATGACATACCAGTATCAGTTGGGCACCTCAAATCGTCCCCTTCCCGTCCCGTGTCGTCCCCAACTAGTCCCATATCGTCCCCAACTCCTTCCTCGCTCTTGTCACGGGAGGCAGTACAGTTGGACTCGTCGCTGTGGTCATCACACTCGTGACACCCGTTACATACGAACACCTGTCGATGTGAAAGTGAAAGTGAAAGTACTTCTGGAAGGGAGACGCTCATGTTTCGGTACTGATAGTGAAAGTGAAAGTGAAAGTGATAGTGAAAGTACCTCTGGAAGGGAGACGCTCATGTTACGGTACTGGCATGTTACTCCGGTGACTGAACTGCAGTTCCATCTACGGGGTTTAGGAGAACATTTAGTAACATTAGTAAGGTTATAATTATTATAGATACATATATATATATTAAGACGCAATGAAACTAACGGACCACGATGTATGGGGACTTCTATATATATTTTAGTGTCTCATTTCCAACTGATTATTTGTGAAGAAGAACCATCAAGGCCGCCTATCATTATTTAATGATATGTAGATTATGCCTATTATTACACATGCCGCCTGTATACCTGTTCTATTAAGAATATTATCTGTTACCACCCATAAGAAATACCTGATATACTCTGTCATGAAGTCCAGAGCTATGACCTGGCACCTGTCCTCTATCTCTATAAACTTCAGATCTTCTGTCAGTCTTGTCAGCAATTTCTCGCACTTTCCTCCGCACCTAGCTCACAGCAGGTTTTATAAATCATGGCTCAAAGGATTGCATATAATCACAAAGTCTGGAACATGCAACAAGTTCACGATTACGTAGATAGTGTGCAAATACCAAGTTTTGATAAAGAAAATAGTGCGCAGTAAAGCGTCACAAAGATAAATTACCTAATCTCATCCTCGTCACTATTATCTTTGCAGTGTTGGACTCCGTCACAAATGTTCTTGTCAGGGAGCCATTTAACACTGTCACTGTAACCATGGGATAACACTTGGGCACACACTACACCTGTAATGATATATATGTACTTTCAGGGGAGAAAGTAAAAGTGAAATAAATTTGCCGGTTAGTCGTCATCCATCGCGATGATATAGCTTCTAGGTAGAAATGGAGTATGTATAGTGGTATGATAGCCCTGTATAGTTGCCCTGTATAGTTTCCCTGTGGTCTACCACTCGTGATGTTGAAAACATTCAAAGGATATTTTCCATTGTCTGTTATTTCAAAGCAGCACGCCAAAAAGTGAGAGGTGCTATTTTGATCTAGAAATGGCATATGTTTAGTTGTTTTAGTTTCTTTCTAAAAGAGTATGCCTGACTTGCTCTGAGGTTACCTCCTCTTTGAAGTCATGATATTAACATGCTCCCCAATAGCTGTGGGCAGTGATCTAACATAAATCATAATGGTAACGGCTTATATTATAATGTTGTTACTTTTAATAAGATGACAAGCAACCACCCCCTTTAATCGGCCACACAAACGCTTTAGCTTTATTGTTTAATAAACCGCTCAATTTAGGGTCAAACCACAACAAACTATTATTTTCAACGATAACTCGAAAATCAGTTAGAGTCCCAATCTCACCGTTCCATTTGTACCCTGGTATAAAGTGAAAGTGAAAGTGAAAGTCAACTACCTCCTTGGCAGTGTTCCTCGTCCTCATTATTTCTACAGTGTTTGTCTCCATCACAGATGTGTTCCTGTGACACTGCCGCATACAGGTTAGGGTGAGCTGATATCTCAGAATGTACACAGAACAAATCCTCCTTCTCACATCTGAAATACGGATTGTATATCTCCGAAGTTTCTTTTTTCATTGCCTGTCAAAAATAAATTCCAGCATACAAAAGGAATGTTAAAGAAATGGTAAATCCCTAGGAAGGAATGTGACCTGCCGTCCCGGATTGCCGTCCCCCGACACCCACACAGATGATACCCGTACTGCTCTCCAGTGCAGGTCCCCTCTCTTAGACCCTGGAAATAGCAGTCCCCTCCTTCACCGTACGATGCTGTGTAGTATTGTCCTGGGAATGTGGCACTCTGTTTTAGGAATTTAATGTTCTTGGGTCAGAATACTTTGTTCTGTAAATTCTTTTAGTAGAAAAAAACTGTATCCTGCACCAGAAGAATGTCTTCTGATTCAGCCAGTTTTTTTCTTAAAAGAGCTCATTTCCATCGACTATCGCCATTAATTCCTACATTCCACAGAGGATAAAAAACAAGATAAGTAAGATATTGTTACTAAGTAGCAAATTTAAAAAATAAGTACAAATTAAGAAACCTGGAGCCTCGAAACATTCGTAGATGGTTCGAGTTGAGTTGAGGATATCTTGACACGTGTGCCTCACGTGACTTTGTATTATCTTGAGAGGACAATGTCCGGAGTGAAGAAGACATCTTGCTAGTGGTAGTGCCACTACCGACCAAAACAAGAAAAACATGGCCGAGCTCAAACAAGTTTGAACTTTGATCTAAAATCGTTGAGCTTAAATACTTAAATAGTTCTGTTTGTACGTGAAACGATTAGAAATTAACTAGAAATTGTGATACCGATTTGGAATGAACTACTGGCTACATTATTTTCATCCGGAAATGAATGAGCAACTAACAATAGAGTTGATAGTAGTGATGGATGCCTTTGTCAAGGCAACAAGTCATATTGTAATCGAACGTGGAGACCGATTTCTATTGCACTGATAATGATTGTCTGTGCGAATAAGAGATTATGTAATTGTAAAGCGAATCACCAACACTACCTTGTCTCGGTAGAGATTCTTCACGTATAATAACATGGTAAGATATTCATCATATCAAAATATTCTTGAGACTGTGCTCCACGTGCAAATGATACCGAACCCTTGCACGTGCAAAAGACAGCAAGTTAACATTGCAGTACTCGTGTTTCCGGAATGACGTAACAATTCGGGTATAGGGAGAGTAGTCTGCTGGTATTGACTATTGAGTCTTCACTCTTCACTTAATTCTCCACTTAATTCATGAAACATTAATTTTGTAATTTATGTCGGATATTCCACATAATGTCAGTTACATGTCAAAAGTTATGTAACCTTATCATGTAATGGTAGGAACTGTTGCGAACATGAGTTTTGAAACTGACACTACTATTGATAATAAGATAAGTGTAACACGGTATTATGAAGGAGTATCAGAGTGGGTGTTTTATAGAAATCAGCTTCTTGAACTGATTATTCTAATTTCATCTCAGCCACACAGGCAATCTATCTACGATATCATTAATCAGCCACTCCTCCTCTTCTTTTAAGGTTTAACCTCTGTGAATATGTTATACAGTTCGAACTTACAACTAGAAATAAGCGCCCGTATGAAATATGCATAATTTAGATCTACACGATTTTTGTGCACGCTTAATTTGCAATAGAATGTGTCAAGATGGCAAGCTCAGCCAAAAAAGAAGATCTTATGTTTAACTTTACTGCAGTTCATGTAGAAAACGTACCAGATATTTTATGATATAAATAGGACGGCTAAATTCCCATCTAAATTCCCCGTTGACAATTAAGTCTGAGTATTTCAAGGAGACTATAAGAATTAAGAATTAAACATTAAGTTGAGCTAAGATCAGTATAATTTTGGGACCTTTACTGATAGTTGAAATTCGACATATGACGTCATCTAGCGTCATCTAGCGTCATCTAGCGTGAAATATCGCCAGATGATGATAGATGACGCTAGATGACGCTAGATGACGCTAGATGACGCCAATTAGCGACATTGTCGCTAAGTGCACGGCACCTTTCGAATGTCGCTATCTATCTGGCGATATTTCACGCTAGATGACGCTAGATGACGCTAGATGACGTCATATGTCGAATTTCAACTATCAGTAAAGGTCCTAATTTTGGACATGTCAGATTTAAGGTATCTGAACACAATTTTCTATCCAGCGGGATGCGATCTATTGGATAATATGGGCAAAATTGTAAAATCACCAAGAATCGCACCACATAATTTATGACATATCAACTAAAAATTTGCTACAACGTAACCTCTTATTTCCTATGAACTTGCTACAATTTTGCTATAACGCTCTCACCTTTTCAGTACAAGAACCCAAGTCCTATCAGTAACCTTGCCCTCACTACACAACGATTTCTACGTTCCAGCTAGGGGCTTCATGAAGCGACCTGTTGCTTCCAACAGATTTGTGGTGAGTTACCATGGTTACTGTTATTAGTTACTACGGTCACTAAATTGTTGACATTCTTCAGTTCATAGAGCACCGTTATTACTTGTTGTTTTAGCTAACAGATATTTAGATACCATTATATAATAATGAATCGGTGCCCGGTGGTATGCATTCTAATCGACCCGTTTATGAAATTACGCTGCATACCGTATTTATGTGAAGCAAATTGAACCCCAAATCGTCCTCGAAAACATTTTGGTCACGTGATATGCATCGAAGTCGCTGGTTGGTTAGTTCGGATGATTTGGAACTGTTATATAGTGTTCCCTCTATTTCCCTCTATTTCAGCCAACCGAGGGAAGATTAAGATCTAGTCAGGAGCTAAGCCCACGAGACAGATTGCGTGTGGAGAATGACTTGTTACTTTTAGCCAAGGAGCGGTTAAGGAAATCTATGGTAAGGGGGGTTCTTACAAATCATTAATAATTCAGATTGTATCTAAAATTCATAAACATTTTTCCCTATATGTATGTTTATTCTCACTCAGTAACTAGCACTAAAATTAGCGCTTAACTTGCCGAGAAATGATATCACTCACTTGACACTGCAATTCAACATTTTATATTCTTCTAAAATTAGATGGGATGTCATATATTTACATTTACTCAAGTTATGTCAAGGAAACTATTTATTTGAGAAATATTAAATATAATATTAAATACGAGCCAAAACATGGTGTGGCGCCCTCATTTCACACTAAACAATTTTCTCGTTTCACTGCAAATTGTAATACGGATAGTTTTAAAATCTCGGTTTCTGCATGTTGTTTGGCTGTTTGAGACGGCGCAACCGGAGCTTCATGTAATTGGCATTGTACGTTATCTTCTTATGTAAGTATGTTGGCAATGTTATGCATTAAAAATAGTTCCAATCCGACTCGGTGTCTATACACTTGCTAGCATGCTTTTCATTCAGTATTTCTGCATTCAACATTTGAGGCTGCCTGGGTGCAAATTTTCAGCTTCTGAATGTTGCCCGCAAAGGGTATAAACAGTTAGGATGCGATATTTTCAGCGACGTCGCTTTATAAGCAACACTTAAGTCGCGTCGACAAAAGGTGAAAGAGATTTATAAATAGATTGGAGGATAATGGAATAGCACGCAAGCGTTACTACTTGCTTATTATAAATCCCGCCCACCTCTTACGACAATCTGACCAACTCAAGATAATCGATGTATTTGCACGTGTAATTGCACGTGTAATTTGCACGTGTAATTTGTTAAACTGAAGCCAAGCTCGGTTCTTGAAGTCGGAGAACTTCTAAAATGGAACACACGTCACCAAGTTGCATACCGATTATTCTTCTTTGAGTCACGAGGAGTGTAAATAAATAATTTAGTGCGATTGATTAAGCAGTCAAACTTCAAAGTGGAGTTTTTGGCGGTTGATAGTGTGTTATTTGGAACGCGCGATTGCAAATATTTGTTGTAAGGATCTCAAGATGCACTCAGTGTGACTATCTGTTCGATTTCTACGCCGCGCAAATGTCATCGCTGATTAATCTCGCTGATATTTCATGTTTTTGTTATCCCTAATCAGTATGTTTAATCGTTTTTGATAACAGTATTGCCTACTTTCAGCAAGTGGTGCCACACAGATCAGAACAACCCTACCTTATGGCTGGCTTTCCAGTCAAGTTACAGCACCGTTCTTCGGTAAGTGTATACTGTATAATATGATAATCCAGAGTCGCCAAATATCATGGACATCCTCTGATGTCTGGCTAATCTTATCCATTTCCAAAAATTCTTACCGATAAAAATTATAATTGTTTGGACTTTGAACATCTTAAATCCCGATCCCACACTTCATACCTCCACAGAACGGTCTACTCTCCCTACCTGCAGTTGCCACTCCCCTCACAATCATGCCTCCTCAACCCAGCTTAGTTCAGGAGGGGGAGAGAAGTTCCTCCCAGAGTAGGAAATACAGCTCTACTTCGGTACCACGAAATGGGAGTGTCACTTCAGAGGCGTTCCTAACTCAGTCAACACTCGATCAGCAGCCTATTGTCATGGATGAGATCACTGTGAGGAAGTGCCCTAACTATCGGGTGAGATATTTATTAAGTTTCAGTTGTTGTTAACTTATTGTGTCGCAGTTAATTAATGAACCGCTATGTTTTCATAATCTGATATTAATTCATGGTTGAACTTTAGAATATACTGTATTAATGTATTATGTAGTACTGCACCAACTACAGGCCATCACATTTCTTATATTATAAATACTCTATGCTGGCAATGAAAACGCTGTCGTGGTTATTGTTAGCATCTTTACAAGAAACACATTTCTACAGCTGTTATAGTTGATGTTTGATTTGTCAGTAATATGTCCCGGTCCCTTTAGTCGCCGTGCAGTCTGCTTGGTAAGGACACGGTATTGGAGCTAAGCAGGAAGTTCAGAGCAACTTCACTGCAGGCTGACACTCTTCCCTACAGTCTAGCAGAGGAATTGGTTTCTAGTGCACCTGATCCTTCTCTTGCTGTCCAGGTTAGTGCACCTGATCCTTCTCTTGCTGTCCAGGTGGGGAGTGGTTTAACAATTACGGGGGGATTTATAAAAACTAATTAACCTTATTATCTAATGGATAATTTAATAATTCAGCAGAGTTTAATAGTTAATAGTACATAGTTAATAGTACATAGTTAATAGTATATAGTCCCTTTCGACCTGTGGTACTTATTGAATTGTAACTTGGTTCAACTTCATTCAGATCCAAAATTCTACGATATCGAATTTGATAATTCCAGGTTATAGATATAAACAAAGACGGTATTGTGGACATCAAGGAGTTCATCGTAGTTTCCAGCCTCAGTGCACACCTCTATAAAGAGTCAGATGTGGATTACACGAAGTTAGAAAACAAACTCAAATCATTAAGGGTAATTAATTAATTAATTAAGGGTAAATTTATTTTTAATATTCGGCAAGGTTTCAGTTCACTCAATTGGGAACACCAGTTTGAAGCTTGACTTGTCCTTTCTGAATCGATGTCACTTTATAAGTCTGATTAGTTTGTCTCACCTTATCATTATAAATTATCTTAATGAAATACTTGACAATTATAATTAAACATATTCCAGCGCCAGCACATGGAGTTAGGTAACGCTACAATCGGAAATATAATCAACAGTATTTCTAAACTGCTGATAACTCCTCCTCTAATGGAATCCATACTTACCCTTGTCAACTGTAACCCTAACGGTTAGTTTCACTTTCACAATATGCACTTCAATATCCAACGGTCAGCTTTCAACTTTGCTGGCTCTTATAAAATTTATAAAATTATAAATTATTTCATGAATTTTTTGTCGGAAAACTCAATGGAAAAATGTAATATCCGTTAGTTATTAATCTTTTCCTTCAGAGAATTTGGCCTTTTTGGAGTACTTGTGTGTGTACAAGTTCTGGGGGGACTTGGAGAACAGCGTCCTAGACGAGGAGCTTACAGCAGAGGTATTGTACACCATTTCTATTTCTCTTTCACTATCCCCTTACATTCAGTTTCATTATCTCCTCATTTTCAGTTTCACTGCAGTAACAATTATTAACCACCCTCTGCTCATTCTACTCTCTGTTTTTATCTCAATGTTCATGAGATTTCATTCAGAAGTTATTACAGAAGGACGTGAACGACTATGTGACATCGTATGTGGGCTCCAGTGACAGTACTTTCTCATTTGACGACTTAGTCTCTTCTACCGACCTTTTGTGACGATCTGACTGTCTCTAGTTGAAGTGGTGAGATGTAAAAGCACGTGGCGTGACGCGCCGCGCCCGTCACCAGTCACCACCAGCTTGCCCAATCTACATTCTAAACATCTTCAATGAACTGCACTACACCATCTACACGCCTTCAATTAATACTTATACAAACTAAAGCATCAAGCATTCAAGCACAACATGATATTTTGTATCCGGCCATATGAACCCGGTCCAATACTTACTTTGAGGTCCAACAGATCAATATTTTAACGAAAAAGAGACTATTTAAATACTCGATAGCTGATACAATCGTCTAGAAGGATAATCGGGTTCCGTGAGTCGATAAATAAACGCGACTAAATATCGTGTAATTCACTTTCTATTTATCGTATTTTTTTGAGTTGCAACTGATCGCAAGAATGATTTAAGGTTTTGGGATTATTGGACTTTACTTACTTATAAGTTATAGCTGATATGATTTTGAGTTGATAAGGGACCTTATAAACGAGTGATCTTGCATTTTGAAAATTTCCCTGTCAATGTATGTATCAGTATTCTATTATTAAGTAATATTGTAATTAGATTGAATTGTAAATAGATTTTTTAGATTGTTTTGTAATTTATTGTTAACTTTTCAGTATAACAGCTGTGTATTTTTGATCTATTCTATTACATAAAATGCAAACAAGACTACTGGTAATTCATCTGGAAGAATTTTAAAGTTTCTATTTCGAAATAAATAACAAAAAGATAACCTTTCATCACCAATTAATGATCTGCTTTGAAGGTTGAGGATTTTGGAAAATGCTTACATTATGAAGCATGTGCGTTTGATGATCGATTAAGATATTGATGGTAAGACAGTTTAAAATCCGATTGTCCTGAAGGACTTATGATAATTTCGTGAAGACTGAAGACCATATAATTATACAAAACAGTAACTGAGTAACGGACACCTTTACGTAAGGGTAAGCAGAATCATATTTAACACAACACTATGCTATGCTATGCAGTAAATTACTCTCAGTCTGGCTTCCGGGCATAAATCAGTAAAACTAAATGGAAGGATACGGAGTTAAAGTTGCATAACTACACCAAAATTACCCAAAATGGCGGTTACTAGCAGTTCATAGGAAGCACAAATTGGCTATTTTGTATTTCTCAATGGATTTCGTTTCAGGACATCTATTACTACGAGAAACTAACGTTATTTCCGGCACAATTAATTCATCAGAAAAGCACCGATTTCCCCGTAAGACTTTATACTAGTACCATAAAAACCAAGCAAGTCAGTTCACAGAAAGCTCAATGGATTAGATGGTTCCAAATTCTAGAATAGCCATTGTTTATAAAACTTGTAATTGTAAGGTAAAACATACACTGAACATTAGAATGGCGAATAATTATTGTAAGTGTTTATAAACCATTCTTGTAATCAGTAATATCCACTTCACCTCCCAACTAGAAGTTCATTTCTCTACCTAAAATTGAACAATAGTCCACACTTTTATCTAGAAAATGATACAAATTGCATTTCAGCGGTTGTTCTGTCTGGTTTTTTGTTTATTCCAGGAAGTTTTGTAGAAGTTGGCCATCCTTATAGTTCTGTCTAGCCCTAGGCACTGGTAACTACCATTATAACTCTACCAAAATTATTTCCCGGACCTTTATTTGAATTCACAAAATATTGAACCGATTTTTTTCGTTATAAGGTTATTGATGATAAAGAATTCAACAACGTTCTAATCTTACTGAGTACTTACTCTTTCCGGTGCTCGTTTCCCCTCTTTACTTTCATTTAAAGTTGTTAACCAAGTTAGTCCCAGGTTAGAGATAATCTTCGCCTGATGCCGCATTTTCATAATGTGTTACTCCCAATATGACCGGCAAGATAATTTGCCTTCTAAATGTACGATGGATAATTTGATTATTTACTTCTTGTAACTTACTGCTTACAATTATCTTAGTTTCTGATTCTCGTCAACGATATAGCATTATGTTTAGTGTTAACCTTTGTTTTGAACATCAGGCTCACCAGATCACGTATTACTATTAGATATCTTGAGATTACGGGGAAAGTCTTCAGAAAAGTGTACGTGTCCCAAAGAAATTTTAATCGTGAGTAACCTGGTAACCACTTTAGTCTCCTTTATCAACAAAACAACTGTGATAACGCGATGTTTCATGGAATTTAAAATTGGTGTGTGGTTTGCTCAGTAAATTTTAAAGAAAGATCTGTGCCCCAGTGTCAGTAAATTCGAGGATTGTTCATGTTTGGAGTTAGAAAAGTTAGCACCCTCGTTAATAGGTCTCAAGCAGGAGCATTCTTTGCGCTAACTATAGCATATAGTTCCTCCTTATGTAGAAACTATATCGCGTTTCCCACTTCTATCGGCTTGTCATCCAAACAATATTAAATATTTATAATCTTGCGAATTTAAGTGTTTTAGTTTTACTCGATTGATTACCTTATCAGTTCTACTTCTAGCTTGGGATAGTTCAGATCCTGTGGCCATACTTAATCTTAAGACTGGACCGATTTCTAACTCTAAGCAAGCCAAATTAGGGCTGGACACCGAAAAGTTGAAAAATTAAAAATAGGAAAGTTTATCACGCACGGCCACCCCAGAATGGCCCCAAGGCCAAATTGACCGAAAATGCTAAATTCACGACTATGGATTTTGTAAGTTTGGGGTCGTTCACATATTACGTAATCACTTTTTGAACAATTTCTACCCCCCCCCCCCCCCAGCCGAGAGGGGACTGGGGAGGGGGCCGGGGATTTCCAAATGATTATACACTAGTGTAATTTTGAAACTATAGTCATGTGTAAAACTGATTACGGATGGGGGAGGGGGGATGGGGGCTGCTTAGTAAAAAACCCATTTCCCAAAAAATCAGTTTGTGGCCATCCTTAGGCCGGCCGGACAAACTTCTTAGACTCTATCTACTTAGGACGTCCGGAAAATACTAATAGGGAGGGGAGGCCGGTAGTTTTGGAATTTCGGACAAACCCGGACAGGGGGAAGGGGTTGGTTTCTGAAAATCCGGACGTCCGGAAATTTTGGCAGAATTAACGAAAAAGTTACATTTATTTCAACTCTTTGAATTTTGGCGGACGTCTAAGTAGATGCCCCCTTAATTGACCAAATTTGGGCCGATAAGACATTAGAGTTTTTGAAAATTTCAAGTAATTTTTCCGTAGTAAACTTTAAAATGTGCCAAAACTCAATATTATTATATATAAGGTAGAGAGGGTTTAGCAAAAAATCAAAAATAGATACTTTCCGGTTTAATTTTAAACCGGAGTCCCAACCGGAGCTAATTTATTAACTTCAGTTACCTGTTACAATGGTTATTCTGTCAGTCCCAGAGATTCTGTCAAAGAAGCGACAAGGGGATGAGCTACAAGATGGGGAACTGGAGTATTTTATTGAGTGTGTCTGTAATGAAGAAATCGATAGAAGTCAGGTAACATTTTTAAAATTAATTTGGTATGGTTCGTAACTATTCAGACCGTTCTTCATGTTTACCTAGGTTGCTAGTCTATTCCTAGCTTCTATCACAGATATGCGAGAAGAAATGAAACAAATGCTTGCGGAGTACGCGCCGGGTAATCTTCGTGTATTCACACGTCTAGCGATAGTTAACCCGCGATAAACCACCTTGTCTGCTTCTTATGACCACTTAACCACACTTTTCTTGACATATTTTTCCTGAAAATCGCGATTTTATTTTTGGTTGGAAAAATGTATTTCCCCGGCAGCAGTTAAAAGTTTTCGGGGTTTTTGAAAACATTTGAGCGAATCCCGAAAACTAAATAATCTGAAACGTGACTGACATATAATTTATCAGATTGGTGCAATGCTGATGGCGTTTTGTCTGCAAGGTCTGACTACTAAAGAGACCGTAACGTTAACCAAGTCTATGATGAACAGTGGGACGGTTCAACAGTGGGACCCCTCCTGGAAGATGGTGGACAAACACAGCACTGGCGGGGTGGGAGATAAAGTAACCTTCCCGCTAGTGGCAGCGGTTCCACTGTTCGGGCTCAAGATGCCCATGGTATCTGGCAGGGGACTAGGACACACTGGCGGAACTGCTGATAAACTTGAGTCTATACCAGGTTCGAATCGAAATATCTTTCTGGTTACACAAACTAAATGAATTACACCGTGGATCACTCGTGCACAATCAGTGTGAGAGGTCACGCTGAGTCACACTAAAGCTTAATAAACAAAGCATCTGCTGCAGTAACAAACAGATAATAATAACCGATCAAGCTCCCTCCCTGACCAGGTTTTAAGATATCCCTAACGGAGGAACACATGATGAGGACACTAAGAGATGTGGGGTGTTATGTGACTACCCAGTTTGGGAACATTGCTCCTGCTGATAAGGTACAATCAACAAGATACCGTCACAATCTGATAGCATAATACTTCAATATTTATTACTTACCCTCAATCTTACCTGATCTTCACTGTACTGGTGTTGAGGGTTTAAAATTGGCATTTCCCACTAAGTTTTAGTTCTTGCATCACATGTTTGTTTTCCTGACCCTGCTTAACATCTCCTGATTCGTTGCTCTCCCTAGATCCTCTACTCTATCAGAGACATCACCTCCACTGTATGTTACGCTCCTTTAAGTTGCTCAAGTATCATGAGCAAAAAGCTTGCGGAGGGACTGGGGAGTCTTGTGCTGGATGTAAAGGTTAGTCTTGTGCTGGATGTAAAGGTTAGTCCTAGATTCACTATCTAACGAGGTTCACTATCTAACTTCCAATAAAGAAACACAAAACCTTGGATTGTTTGGTCAGCATTAAACATTAAAGTAAACTCATGATGCCTATTCTTTACAAAACTAAGTCTGGTAAACCCACAAACCCAGTCAGGAGTAGCCTCAACAACAGACAGTCACGAGCAGGCAGAGTGGCTAGCCCGGATGATGGTGGATATAGGGCACGGTATGGGAGTCAACACAACTGCAGTGCTGACGGAGATGAACACTCCTATCGGCTACACTATCGGCAACTCACTGGAGGTAGTGAAAACTTGCAGTTTCAGGTTTAAAGGTGTTACGTTGTAGTGCAAGGATTTTACAGACATTGTAGTTATGAAATTTTTATCGGAGTGTTATAAGATGATGGTGGTTGTTTCAGATGATTGAGTCGTTAGAGTGCATGAAAGGGAACGGACCAGCTGATCTGGAAATTATAGTGGCAGTCCAGGGAGCTATACTCCTCTGTGACGCAGGCATTGCTTCTACTCAGGAACAAGGAGAAAAAATGATCTTGCAAACGTTCAGAGACGGAACAGCCCTTGAAAAATTCCTTCAAATCTTAGGAAACCAAGGTGGGTAAAACACGGATTTACTGCTTCTACCCGTTTCACCTTCACAACTTGGTTGTATCTGAGCCAAAATTACTTGACAGTAGGCTAAATTATACAAGGTTGTTAAATACGTCAAATTTTCGTGAAAGAATACGACGTATTCGGTTTTAATAAAGAATACGTCGTAATACGCCGTAATACGGTAATTTCTATGGATTGTTAAATACGTCCACGAATACGCCATAATACGCCGTAATACGCTGATCTGTCAAAATTAAACATTACAGCTGCGCGCCACCCTCATCATTGATCATGCATTAAAGGAGTGCAGTTATACATGATACAGATAACTTAAATTTGTAATCAAATTTCATGGATAATCCGATAAGCTAACATTTTTTGCGAAATTATCAATTACATATTAATACATATTTAATGATTTTGATGTTCAGAGAGCGAGGAGTTCGTCAAGATCAGTCAGCTTCACAGTGCGCTACTCCGGTCTGGGAATTAATTTTTCAGTTTGTTAGCCGTCAGTAATTACTAATTACTATTAGGGATTAGAGGCTGCTCCTAAAACGATCTCGCAATTATCAAAGTTTAAGACCATTTTCTAAAGTTCAGTCCCCTCAACATATTTGAATTTTTGAATTTTTTGAATAAAGAATACGTCGTAATACGTCAATTTTCGAGGATTAATACGTATTCGTATTCCAATACGTATTCCCTCCTAATACGTATTTAACAACCTTGAAATTATAGATACCTTACCTTAATAGAAAACATTTCTCCTTCATTATCACTTTAAAACCTCACTACATTATATAGATTGTTCAATGTTCGGTTACTTTTTATCTCAATACTTAAAATTACTGCATTTATAGCATCACTTTTTTATACCTTTTCAATTTCCCTCTATGTATAAATGTTTGCAAATGTACATTTGTTTTAGGAGTGGAAAAAGGAACGTTAGAATTGTTGAGGAAAGGAGAGTATGATCAAGTGTTTGAAAAGCCAAAATTCGTCGAAAACATCATAGCTCAACAGCCAGGTATACACAACAGATTGTTCGTATTTTGTTAGCGAAAGCTTTCTTTGGACGATTCGATCTTCCGAAGATCATGCCACTTTGAATAATCTCACGTCTAACAAGGCTCACAAATCCAGATAGTTCGGTTTAAATAGTCGAGTATATTTGATCAGGGTTTATAGAAGCTGTGAACGCGATGTCGCTGGGAACAGCTACTGTGCTACTGGGTGGAGGGAGGCAGCTAGCGGGGGATAAGATAGACCCTGCTGTGGGGATAAAACTAATCCGATCCAAAGGAGATCAGGTGTGTGTGTGTGTGTGTGTGTGTGTGTGTGTGTGTGTGTGTGTGTGTGTGTGTGTGTGTGTGTGTGTGTGTGTGTGTGTGTGTGTGTGTGTGTGTGTGTGTGTGTGTGTGTGTGTGTGTGTGTGTGTGTGTGTGTGTGTGTGTGTGTGTGTGTGTGTGTGTGTGTGTGTGTGTGTGTGTGTGTGTGTGTGTGTGTGTGTGTGTGTGTGTGTGTGTGTGTGTGTGTATGTGTGTGTGTGTGTGTGTGTTTGTGTGTGTGTGTGTGTGTGTGTGTGTGTGTGTGTGTGTGTGTGTGTGTGTGTGTGTGTGTGTGTGTGTGTGTGTGTGTGTGTGTGTGTGTGTGTGTGTGTGTGTGTGTGTGTGTGTGTGTGTGTGTGTGTGTGTGTGTGTGTGTGTGTGTGTGTGTGTGTGTGTGTGTGTGTGTGTGTGTGTGTGTGTGTGTGTGTGTGTTGGAGTGTTAATATTGATATCTAATTTAATATAAACTACACCTTACGTAGGTCGAACGCGGAGATATTTTAGCTGAGATCCACCACAATGGCAAGCTATCCAAAATGTTGAGAACTAGGATTGAAGAAGCTTTTCTTATCGGTGAAAGCAAGTCTCCAATAAGACGAGTCATTGCAATTGTTAGTTTCCTTTACATCAAAATTAGTTATTCTTAAATCTATATGAAACTCAAATACTGCTAAAATATCAAAAGGTTTGCCTTTCATTTTTATTTTTGGATCACATAGATGGTCCTAGATTTTTGAAGAAAACAGCATGGCAATTTCAAATGTTTAAACTCAAATAATTGCTTGTCCCCAGGTGAAGCCCGATGTTCCTACTGTTGATTACGAAGTTTACAGGAATCAGCACTGACCAAAGAATTACTGAATACTGCGTTTGAGTTTTGAGAAAACGTTAATGCTTTATTTCGGACAATTTAATTTTACGCCTCAAGGGCTCATATTGCTATCAGACTGAGATTTAATAATATTAAACTTACGGACTATAAGTATAAAGACTTCACACCATGACATAATCTGAAATTTTTACTTTTATTTTTGGTGATTGTTTGTTTCAGCCTTTAAAATGTCTAAGTATTTTCTAAATTATTTACTGAATACTTTTTGGCTATGAAGTTTTCCTATAATCTTTATCCGTATAAATATTGATAATGAAACGAAACTTTAGGACAAAGTAACCGAAAATATCATTCATTAGCACTTTCCCGAAATATTTCTTATCTAAGATTAAAATAAGGTCTGACAATTCCCATTAAGTTTAGATAAAATCATTAATAACCAAAAAAATTAAATCACCATTCAAAATTGAATACAAACATTGTCACTTCGTTGTCCAAAATCATTTTAGATTGCGACATTCATACATAAATTGCTGACAAAAATCAATAAATTAACCAATTTACTCAAATATAACTTGATTATCAAAAGAATGGTAAGGAATCTTTTACCTTTTTACTGAAGCCACTCATCAATCTTAATTAAAAATCAAGCAAATCACATTAATTACTTTAAAGTAATTAATTACTTTAAAGTAATGAAAAACGTGTATTCACATTCATAGAGAATCAAACCTGATTTTGAAGAATCATTAGGTCATCCTACTTAGCATGCAAAGAAAAAGGGATTACTGAAAGCTAAAAATATTTTACAAATGTATTACATCCAAAAATAGTAAAATACCCAGAAATTAAAAATCAATCATCCTGGTTTTTGAGAATGGTATATTTCCCCACCTTAGGCGAGTCTGTACTGTTAATGGGAAGGATTTTGTGACTTTTGTCATCGCCACGAGGCACAATAATGACAGTTAACATGGAAGCCATAATCAGCGCACATCCAGATAAGGACCATCTGTTTGGATAGAGCTTGAATATCGTGACTTGGAACAGGAAGGGTAGGACTATGTCAAAATATTTAAGTAAGGACGCTTTTGCTGGTTTTCCGTACCTAGATATTTGATGTGTTAAAATACTAAATATTAGATTAAGTTATTATTTTTCACTGTTCGAAACGACACGTGTCATCAATGGATCATTTACATTTACAAACGGAGTATAATTGTTCCCAATTCTACACATCAATGACTAGTCCGACCCACCAGTGGCCAGTATGTACCAGTATACAAAAGAGATAATAAAAAATTATTACAATTATTATGTAAGAATTATTATTAGATTCGTGTTTATATAGAAAACATTTTCTGCAGAATGGACAGGGAAAGTAACTTACATATTGAGGCACTTTCCTTGTACCATCAAGATTCAAGAATGAATCGGACCGAAAATTTTCTAAGACGAAATTGTTTTCAAAATTTTTCTGGAAACTACTTTTATTTATGTTTCATCATTCATGCTACCCTGATCATTTTGAGCCGTAAATACTTTTTGGTCCGTATCTACATTCGGAAGGCTGTGGATGTGATTGGTTCCATATACTTATAAAGAACGTAATATTTGGCCCTCGGGTTTAACTTTAAAGGAAGATGCGCAAATTTGGTCTTCAGATTTAAGGAAAAATGCGCAATTTGTCGCGGCAAACGTCAAAAATCGCGATTTTTCGCGGAGAATGGGTGAAATCGCGATTCCGCACGTGTCAAAATCTAGCCTATTATTAGATATTTAATCTCTTGGAAATGCTTGTATTTTAATCCTCACCTCATAGCAGTGCACACACAGAGTTGCTGCAGGAAGTAGAAGCTCGACATAAGCAGCATAAACAGGAAGTTCTGAAATTACGAAGTTGTATAACTTAGACGTGAAATTTGTTAATCGAAATCAATCTGGATTAAACAGAAACCTATAAATTGGTTAATCAAACACTTCCACACATTTCTTCTTATTCCAATGAGAGAAAACAGGAAGAAACACTAACCGAGCTTGTGGGAATACCAACAAATTCCCTCTTGGAAACCCCCTCTCCGCTTGCGGACAGTGCAATGTAAGTGTTGATGAGAGTAAGGGCTGTGAGACCCATTGAAGACAAATAAAGGACTATCACGTGAACAGAGGTGGAATTACTTGTAACACTGACCGCTACATACTTAGCTGCCTTGAAGAAACCTCTCGTCAGAGCAGCTGCTATTGCTAAGTAGAATATTGGCGTTCTGGCCGGGCCATGATCGCTGCTTCCGAAGAGGAAATCTGGCTGTGCCACGAAGATAACCCCACCAGTGGCCACAAGAAGGGAGGCAAAGTCTGAAATTTGGAGCTGTTCTTTGAGGAAGAAGGACGAGAGGAGTACTGTGAATACTGGTGCTGTGGTTAGGAGAAGGGTGGCTTCACCAATCGGCAACTGTCTGAAACATCATCAATATCAGAATTTAGGTGATAAATAACACCAGAGACCGTCATTCCACTTTTGGTTTTTCCAGGTGGTTTGTGACTTAACTGTTAACGAAGAAAAAAAAATCCGCACTCTTGCTGCACAACATTTTTAAAGCAGGTGCGGGATCGCAGTATAGTTGCAAAATATAATCACACCTTATATGTTCCATAAGTTGCCTCTGCAAAGTTATGACCCGTTACCTTAGTGCGAAGACAGTGCAGGAAGCGGTGATAGTTCCGAACAGGGCAGAGAGGAGGAGTTGTTTGTCTTTCCAGGCAGTCAGCGCTAGACGGGGCTGGGCGGTGAACTGGTTGTAGAATATGCAGGTCAAGGTGCACAGGAAGAACCTCCACCAAAGTATTTCTGTTACCGGCACATCGTCGATAAAATCTGAGGATTTGGTAAGTTTATAATTCCCAAGATCTTTATTAACAACTGTAATCCTAATTCTTATATCTCTACTGATTATCAATTCGCTGATATATTTTTACTTTGTCACTTGCGTACCAGTACCAGGTCATAAATGCGAAATAAAATATTTCGAATGATCGAGGTAAAAAATAGTAGTGAATGATAGTTTTTTAAACGGATCATAAAATACAATTCATTTGCACCATGGTGCTACAGTTACGTTAACCAGACAGTTACGTGAACCAGACATGTGAACAAGGAGTTCAGAGAGAAGAAAAAATATGTTTGAAATGATACTGACCTGTGAACAAGGAGCTCAGGGAGAAAAAGGAGCAGGAGAGGATAATAATACTGCAACACTTTGCATCCTGCGACATCAGCGGCCGCGACTTCTCCATCCCAGCAGCGTTTTTAGCTCGATCACCCAGATCTTTTAGCTTCTCAAACATAGCCCCGTTCTCGAATCCAAAGTGACATCTTAGAAAAAGTTCCGCTGAACTGCCATATCCAGCTACGTTATGTTTTTTATTAGGTTGTCCGGAGTATTAAAGCATTAATTGAACAAAGCGTATTAGGAAGAAAAAAAACGAATGCTACGACTAACGAGCCGAGCCAGAGTGTGAAGAATGAAGATGTTTGTTTTGGGCATAAGAAATGGGGTTGGTTGAAAATATGAAGTCGATAAGGTCCAATCAAATCATGACAAACTGTTTAGAGCAGACATGAAAAACTCAATAAAATTCATAAGGCTGTCTATTTCTTCAGCTGATAGTTGGTACAAGAGCACGTGTTAATTGACCGGACTGGAATAAAATCAGCCATTTGTTTAGCTAATTAGACTGAGGGGAAAAATTGTCTAAAACAAGTTTAGTAACTTAACTCTTACAGTAATTCTGAGACCTGAGTATTGACTGCTGTATTCAAACCCGAAAACAACAAAACATGGTGATGTTTACAAAGTCACTCTAAAAATAACTAAAATTTCACATGTCCGACCTAGAATATCGACCTTTACTGTTACATAGTCATACGTCAAAGTGAAAGAAGATCGACCGTCCACTGTTTGAGTGCTTCTGTATACCCTGAAGCTTAGATTACATGAAGTATTTAGTTGGCTTGCCCGCCGTATTACGAAACGCTGAATACTTTGGAACACTATAGACATCAATTTAGTGGTATGTGTTACCAAATTTAGCAATAAGTAACTATTGCCTATTGGATTTGGAGTCAGAGGAATAGCTCAAATAGAAAATGTGGATTTAACCGGCGAACGTACTGTAGTGCGACATGTAGTGCGACATGTATACGACATATAATACGTGTGACATGTACTGCGACATGTACTGCAACAATGTAAAAGTTAACCTGTGGACCCCAGGCCCAGGCTTTAATGTTCAAAAACATAAAAATTCGGCGGAATGACAGGCTGAGCGCCGCCCAGTAATGACAATGTAATTGTGAATCGTTTTAAAATTTAACCACAAAATTTATTTAAAAGAGTAGAGAATATTAATGAATTTGTGACGATTGCGCTTATCAATTGGAATTTAATTTTATACGGTAAAGTAAGTGGATTTGCGGACAACTTTAACTTTAAGTAATAAGTTTAACCAGAGAATACTTTAACCAAAGAATTGATTAGAATATCCTATCATTAGATCTCGTAGAGTCTACTTTTAGTAAAACCATAATCTTAGTAGGAGTAGCACCAAAAACTAATCTAGTAATATAACTTAAACTATAATCTAGTAATATAACCAAATTATTAAGAATGCATTCGATAATGATAATAATCGAATATAACCGATGAATTTTTTCCGCGCTAAATGATCAAATAATGGAAGTAGCGTAGCCTACTGCCAATATTGTACCAGAATCTGGGATATTAATTTTACAGTTACAACTACAACTACAAGGGCTATGCTTTGGGCTGCGCGTCCATTTGGAGCTTTCAGAATCTATTCGGATTCGCCTCTTTAAAATAATTTTTATAATGAACCTATTATATTACTATTAGTTGAAACGGACTGATAGCATTATTAACCTTCATTTGCAATTTTCGTTCACATCACATTATTTTAAAGTATCGCCAACAAGGAAGCTTAAAGACATTTAATTTAAAAAGTAATACTTATCAGACATCATCACGCCGTTGTTACGTAAAATAAACAAAAGCAGTATTGCTATTAGCACATATAATTTTGAATTGTACCGTACGCAACGTAAAAGTAAGAAACTTCAAAAGTAATCTGTGGGGTTTCTTTATTTCGTCGAATAAAATGATAGTACTGAGTCGTGACCAGTGCAAACACCAAAATCCTTATAATTGGAAATAGATCAACGGCAATAAAACAAAAAAAACCCGAAAGCGTTATACGACTACGAGAGTTTAGAGTTGATGAAAAAAGCTATCAACAAAGTGTGCTCCTTTATCAAAAAAGAATCTTCAGCATGAAACTTATTGCGAAAAATAAATGTAACTCTGGGTAGAACTATGCAGGTGTAGTGAGGAGATGGGGGTGTAGTGACTATTGAGGTTTGATTAGTCAACTATAAGTATAGTCGACTTTGAGGAAGTTTAAACACGATTTAGTTTACTGGGCGGTGCTCAGCCTGTCATTCCGCCGAGCATTATAGCTGGGGTCCACAGGTAAGAAGTAGTGAATTATAGCTATCAGACAACCATGTAAAAGCTTAAGTTCTTCTAGCTATTTCCAAAAACGAAATCTGATCCAAACTATTGCACTAATGCCGGTGTGGTACTTAAGTACACGATTAATCGTTGGCCACTAGCCCCATATTCTTATATTTAGTATGCAATGAGGCAGACATCTAAGTGATAGTATTTGAATATATGATTCGATGCGGTCGAGGTGCACTAGTAGTAGTTCGTTACATCTGATAATATGCAGAAAATGTTGCGGCTTTTCTCAATCATCTAAAACATTTTACACCAGTACAACTACATAGCATTGGTGTACTATATCGTAAAGGGTTGAGAACAAACATGTACAGCCCTCTCTTCGCCGAGTTATTTGAAAATTATTTTTGTTTCATAGTAGTTCCGACTTCCGAGACTTCGAAATTAGAATAGTATAGAAAACGCTACGTAGTTTGTAGTTGTTAAGAAAGAAATAAATCCATTTATACTTTATACTACGAATCCCTATCACAATGCTGGCAAGCATTACCGTCGCCCTTATATTCGCAATACTATTTACCCCCTATACTAGTATATCCCCTTTATTGTTTTCCAGGCATTAAGACTCATCGAAAGTAGTTCAGCAGGCATATTTAAGTTCAAAACATTCTAATTCAATGTTAAAGATGACAGGAATAAGAAATAGTTATGTGGAGGTTTTTAAGAAATTTGCGCAAAATACGCGCCAGCATGTTATACGAAATTAGGTAAAAAACCCAAAATCGCCATATTCAGGTGCCTTAAAAACCATGTTAAAATTGAGTTAGAGATATGAAACTTTGCAGGGCGTCTAGACGTTGTCCAAATCGACTGTAAAAAAAAATTCATGTTTCAGGAGTATCGGGAAGTGAGTTTTCTGGAACCCCTGTTTTACAACAGATTGTCGTGAAGTATATATATATATATATATTATGATTGGCTACTGGGACACGTCATACACACGGTTGGATTGTTAATATATATATATATATATATATAGACGCTTTTGCAGTCAATTATAGCCTACATTCAAGTGTCCGTAGATTCAAAAGGATAAAAGATACAGTCATTTTGAACCACAGGTCTTGAAAATAATCGTTTACAATCCAGTTTCCATTATATCAAAAAATAATTTAACGTCATCATCATCACTTGATGACGTCATCAAGTTAAGTGTTTTTAAAACTTGGTTTTTAACAAAATAACAACTTTTCAAATCGATTTTAAACCATTAAGGAGTAATTTTATTCAAAATCTGAGGACATTTTTATCTTAGATAATTGTTCAAGCATTCTGAAAATCTACCGGAAAATTTTCCTACCTTGCTCCTTCATAAAGATATTCGCTATTGAAGTTAGTGCTTTTTTGAAGAATAATTTTATAAAAATACAAAAGTTGTGAATTAGTATTCTCTGGTGTTGGGCTATCCCTTGGGTTGTGGAGCTCGATTGTGCTTCCTAAAGGTCTAAATTGTGTTATAGGCTAGTTTTAAAGTTAAAAATCGAAAAGTTGCACACGTGGGGACACGCCCAAATTGATAGAAAATTGCTAAAATTACTGAAAATTGCTGTTTTCACCATTTTTATCAACTTTGGAGTCCCGTTGTGATCCAAGTTCTATATGAAATCTTTTGAAACTTTGCATGCTTATTAAATTATATATAAAATACTGCTATGCAAAAATTTACGGTGATTCAATATTGTATGCGCACGCAACGTCCGCTCAAAGTTTGCACGTGCGAAAGGTGAGAATTTTGCTCATTCGTGATTTCGAATAAATTCTGCTTTCCCGCGATATTTAAATGGAATTATATATGAATTTAATGCCAACTTGAATGAGTAAAAAGTGCCATATTTAGTCAGGTAAAATTTCGAAATCGATGAAATTACCTCCTAATTATTAATATAAATATTAATGAAGTTATGAGTTTACATTTCGGCTTTGTAAATTATCCTGACATTATAATCAAAAAGAGATGATATTTGACCAAAACCCATAATCATGGGTAGAGTGTACCGCTGCCAGTGTCTCTCTTTTCCAAACAAAAGGAAATGATATTAATTTGAATAACCGTCCGCAAATGCAAATTGATACCGAGAATGAAATCGGTCGCTCGCTTTTTCCATTCGATCACGGCTTACGAATTGTAATTGGTAATAAAGCTTATTGATTAGAAAAAGCGAGCGACCGATTTCATTCTCGGTATCAATTTGCATTTGCGGACGGTTATTCAAATTAATATCATTTCCTTTTGTTTGGAAAAGAGAGACACTGGCAGCGGTACACTCTACCCATGATTATGGGTTTTGGTCAAATTAGTATTACTGTTATTTGTTAGTCAGTTTGCATTAATGGGAAAGTAGATGTCTGGCACAACTCTTAAAAGAATAATACTGAGAGTGTCAGTAAATACGAAATCTTCCGGCAGCACAGCTTGCCTATCTATTTCTAAGTAATGGTTTGATCGAGTAAAATTAAAATCTGGCGAACAGATTGCATCTTGAGCTACAAAGATTAAAGCCCTACAATGAATCATGACCTTGGAACCACGACATATCCTTAAAAGCTGGGACAAAACGCGAACATCTCAAATTTACTACCAATAAGAAAATAGCCTCGCCTCAAACGTCCACTCTTAGTCTTTGTCAACAGCAGACAAAAGAATGGACTTAAAGACACTGGGCGTGAAGGGAGTGAACAAAAACTAGTGTAAGTGTAACAAATGGTTAAACTGCTAAAGTTAAAATTTTAACCCAGAGAGGGCGGTGACTTTTCATTATTTGATGGTCATAAAGAACGTATGAGAATATGACAAAAGCTACGATTGAAACATGTGTCTACC